CAACACCAAGCTCACCAATATTTAAGACATTTATCTATCTCCAGTCTTACATCACCATTCTTCTTCTTTAAGATTACTTAAAGATTACAACAGTGGCCCCATAATCAAATCTGTGGGTAAATTATTTCCCACTTTGGTGGGAGAGTTGGACTTTTCAAAGTTGCTAGTTGTTTTCTATTGCCTCAGCTATGTTTGACTTCAAGTCCTTATTCGTATTTATCTACCTTTTCCAATTTGAAGATCATTTTCTTTATTAGAAAAGATGGAGACAAAATGATTAAGTATGGTAGAATCTTGATGCTGGAAGTTATCTACTCCAATTCCTACCTGAAGCATAAATCTTCTACATCATCCCTGACAAGTGGTTATGCATCTTCTGCTTCAAGAATACCAGTGACAGCATATTACTTTCTAAGACATATTATCCTGTTTTGAGGTAGATGTAATTGTTAGGAAGTTTCTCCTTACCTTGAACAAGATTTGGCCTCTCTATGATTTCTACCCCATTGGTCTTTGTTCTGTACCTCAGGATCAAGCAGAACAAATCTAATCTATTCTTCATGACAACCCTCCCTATATTTGAAAACAGTACTAAGGTGTAGTCCTCCTCCACACCAACCTTTCCAACCTCCAGAAATTCTATCCAGAATTTCCAGCCTAAACATCTTCAGTTCTTTGAATCAATCTTTGTATTACATGGTTTCATGTACTTTCATACTTTAGTCATCTTCCTCTGGTCCCTCTCCAACTTGTCAACATCCTTCCTAAAAATATGACACCCTCTTCTTATCCCTCAAACTGTAAATAATCCCAATATGGTTTGACTAGAACAGAGTACAATGGTATAATTCCCTATCCTTCAGGTACTTACACTTATTAATGCAGCCTCAGATCACATTAGCTTTTTTTGGCTGTCACATCATGCTGTTGGTTTTTTTTCAACTTGGGGTTCACTAAAACCCCTGGATCTTTTTAACATGATCTGCCATAAGGGGCAGTTAAGTGGTGAAATAGAAGAGCGCTGGTCCTGGAGTTGGGAAGACCTGAGTTCAAATCTGGTCTCAGACACTAGCTATGTGAGTAAGTCACTTAACCTCTGCCTCAGTTTCCTCATCTGTAAAATGGGGATAGTAATAGCATCTACATTGCTGGGTTGTTGTGAATCAAATGAGATAACAGTTGTGCAGTGCTTAGCACAATGACTGGCACATAGTAAGCAATATATAAATGTTAACCATTATTATTAGCTGTTATCATGTCTTTCTCATTATATAATTGTACACTTACCCTTTAGAACCCTGGTGTAGTACTTTTACGTTTACTCCCATTAAATTTCATCCTTAAGAGAGTTAGCCCACTAGTCCAGGATGTCAGGATCTTTTTGGTTCCTGATTCTGTCATCCAACATATTTAACTATTTTCTCTAGCAACATCTGATATGCACATTTAATACACATGCCATCTTTATCTTTAATCAGAATATTGAATAGGAGAAAAACCTGTGGGATTCCACTAGATAACAGCATTTAAGTTGATGTCATTCTAGTAATCAAGACTCTACATCTGATTGTTTACACAATTGTGAACACACTTAACTGCACTATCATGCAGGCCATATCTTTCCAATTTGGAAAGCTTTGCCCAAAATAAAGATTCTTAACCCATATAGGTTCATAGCAACCACTTCTTTCCTTTTTTAAATCCTCATAGGCGACTTTGCAGGAAGAACCCACCTTTTTGTGCTGATGGTAATCCCATGGCATCTTTTCTCAGAGGTCATGAGCAATGATGCAGCATTTATTCTTAAATTCTTCAGTATATTGGAATATAATTTTGCTTCTGCCAGATGATTTAAAGTCTTTAAGAGCCTTTAGATGTTCTTTTGCCATCTTAAGTATCTTGGATTTCATTTTCCTGCTAACTTTTTTTCCCCTATTCTTTGCCATCTGAAGATCATTCTTATTAGTAGTGAATATAGAAACAAAATAAATTTGATTTTTCTTCTTTGTGTCATGTGTTATAACCTCATCTCCCTAAACCCTGGTCCTATTATGTGTTTATCTTCTTGCTTCCAACATAACATTTTTTGTTGTCCTTAGTATTTATTGCAGGCCTCAGTTCAGGTTAGATTTTTAACCTAATATACTTGCAGAATTTGTCATCCTTTTGTATTAATCCTATTACCTATCTCTGATGCCATCTCTTATACATGTTCTTTTAAAATCTGATCTCATCACTGAGTTCTCTCTCCATATTAATTTCTTTAGGTACTATCCCCCACTTTCTTCTTCATAAGAATCATTTACACTTTTGTCATCAGAATTTTATTCTCCCATTCTTGAGCTTTGAGATCTTTCCTACCTTTTTTCCAAATTCATATTTCTTTAAACTCATGTATTATACTATGTTCAGGGGTTCTCTCTTTATAACAACTTCTAAAATGACATAATTCTTTTTTTAATGTCTTTTATTTTTTTAAATTGATTTCTTTTTACAAGCATTTATTATTCCTCCCTCATGCAACCCCACTCTTTTTAGGACCTCAAAAAACAAACCCCGTGTAACAAATATGCATAATTTAGCAAAATAAATTTCCACATTGGCCATGTCCAAAAATGTATGTTTCCTTCTTCATTTTAAGTCCATCACTTCTCTGGCAGGAGGTGGGTGGCATGATTCATCTTCAGTACTCTTCACTCGTGGTTTATCATTGCATTAATCATAGTTTTAAAGTTTTTCAAAATTGTCTCTATAATGTTGTCATTGTATAAATCGTTCTAGATGCACATTTTACTCTGTATTGGTTCAGAGAGGGCTTTTCACAGTTTCTTCTTTAATTGTTCACTTTGTCATTTCTTGTAACACAATAATATGCTATTGCATTCATGTCCCACAATTCTTTAACCATGGAGTTTCTTCTTATTTGTTCGAAATCAGGTCTAAAATAATGGAATCACGATGTGCTTTCCTTTTGTCATTTCTTCAACCTTTGGGAGGTCATAGGATTTCACATTTAGAACTGGAGGGAACCTTGTAGATCATCTAGTTTCAACTATCTCATTTTACAGGTGAGGAAACTGAAGCATAAAGAGATTAAGTGACTTCCCTAAGATCCTTCAGGTAATTAGTGTTAAAGCTGGGATTTGAACCTGGGTCTTCTGACACCTAATCTGGCATTCTTTCCTCTGTACCGTGGTTTCTCCCCAGTGAAAATGAAAATTGTCCCCAGGGAAGTGAAAAATTCATCATCTTCTCAACTTTTAGTAGAATCTTTCAACATATGTCTGACCTATTGGCGTTAACCATTCATTATTATATTTTGTTTCTTTGCTCAATTTGTGATTTGTATTAAAAACTTACAATCTGCTTTGTCCCCTTGGCTTAGAGGACTGCAATATACCCTCACAACAATATCATTTCTGTGATGGAGAGCTCATTTTTATATGGCATATAGTAATTTGAACTCCAAACATGAGTTCTAGTTGAATAATAAAGCATCTTAAACTTAATCTCTAGTTTTTCAAGAATATATGGTTTGAATATTGTCGTTACTCTTTCCATTGAAGTAGATTGTAGTCCTTAGTAACTGAACCTTAGTAATTGGACTTTGTGAATTGATATGTCCAAAAAGTCAATCACTCTGCAGCCAACTTGGTGTTGAGCTTCTTGAAATTACGTAGGTTGATTCTCGGGTTGTTGTTGTTTGTCTTTTGTTCTCAAAGAGGGCCATGACATCAAGAAGGTGATACCATGACTTGCAAGTAAATTGGATTTAAGTGAGGGAGAACTATGCAAAGTCACCAGCCTCACTTTTTCCTCCAGAGCCATCTGGGTCCAATGGCAAGATATAGATCAGGATGACTGGAGATGGCCTCCATTGGTTGGTTCTCAGACAAAAGACTTGTAGTCCATCACAGGGACTTTACTTAAAGCTTTTCTATGCTGGAAGGAATTGTCACAGCTTACGTTCTATAAACAGTTCCATACCACCATGACGTATCAGCAGGACTTCTGTGAGCTAGAAATCATTTCTGGAGAATTCTTTCCAATGCATAAGGGCTATATAAATTGATTAGCACACAGGAAGAGTATGAAGGGAATGGATATTTTCTCTGTGGAACAGCATTTGGGGCTTTGCTGCCATACCAAGAAATGCTCTATTTCTTTAAAATAAATTTTATTGTGCAAAAAAGAGCCATCTTGGTTAATGTATTATATTCAACTTTACCATGTATTAAACAACCAACCAAGCATTAGGTTTTACAGATCTAATGGGGACATTTTAGAATATATTATATGTGATTATGAAGACAAAAGGAAATGTTCACATCCACCCTGGGTGATGGTTTTATTATTCAGGAACAGAATGTTTTACTGTATTTTATTATCTCAAGAAGAGAAAACTTATTTAGAATAAAAATATGTAAAAACTGTTGCCAAAAGATATACACACAAATACATATGCACACTAGAAAAAATAATATTGGAAGCAAAGGAATCATATATGAGTTAAATACTTCCCAGTGTTGTATTTGAAGCCAGAGGACCTGGGTTCAGATCTAGACCTTGGACAAGTTACTTAACCTGTGATCCTAAGAATAATCCAGACTGATTTAAGCCAATCTATTGGTCTGATGTTATCAGAAATTCAGTTCCTTTTGATTCCATGTAACCATTTACATCAGACCACTGGTTTGGCATAAGTCAATCTGAATTATTCTTAGGATCACAGACTTAGAGCTGGAAGAAATTTCAGAGATCTAATACTGAGTGGTCTGATATAAATAGCTTTCACAGAATTAGAAGAAACTGAATCTCTGATAACTCCATGTAGGGCAGGTCCCACAGTAATATGGCTGTGAACATGTTTCCTCTAGAATCATCCTCTGGATAAGAGGGTTTTTCCAAGAGATGGACTCTAAGTGGGCAGCTTTGATAACTGGTTCCTTCCCTCTTTCTTCTTTTTTGTCCTCTTCCTTTGGCTCTTTTGCTGTTCTCAGGTGGAAGAACCCCCAGCTGCATCAACCTCCTGGCAGGATTCTGTAGCAGAAAGACCACCTTACTCCTACATGGCCATGATCCAGTTTGCCATCAACAGCACTGAGCGGAAACGTATGACCTTGAAAGACATCTATACCTGGATTGAGGATCACTTTCCCTACTTTAAGCACATCGCCAAACCGGGCTGGAAGGTCTCTATAATGTCTCTATAACAACCAGGGTCCAGGTGACCGAATCCCCACTCTCTGATGTCATGGAAGAACACTTGAAAGCAGAAGAGACTAGACCTAAAAAATAAATTGATCTGAAATTTGGGTGTATAACATACTTCCAACAACCTAGGCAAAATGGCCAAGCAGTTACTATTCAGACGCTCCTACTTATAATACCGTGATACTTTGTTGTTCAGTCCACTGTAGAAGGTGGTTCAGAATTCCACTTTGCCCCTGCTCAGGAGAGCTGGACGAGATTTCTCAGTAGAAAATACTCTTAGAATGTGACTAGATGTCATGTCTTACTATATAACTTACACTGAAGTAATCTTTTAGATTACTGAATTTCATACTTGATAGTCTCTAGAACATCTTCCCAAGTTTCCATGGTTCCTAATAATATTTTCAGAATCGCTCTAGACGGGTGTGTTCCAAATAAACCTAGCTATCTGAGTTGCAATTAGGGTGTCTACAGTGGCTGGTGAATCCCCTCTCCTATATATTTGTGGGATTGGCAAGCTTTTTAGGCATTATTAATTTATTTTGATTTATCAACAATCACTTCCATAAGCTTTTGAGTTTTAAATTTCCCCCCCTCTCCCTTCCCATCTCCTTCCCCAAGATGGCACACAAGCTGATGTAGAACAAGTTTTTTAAAATGGTGTGCCAAGTCTGATCCCTCAGGAGAGAGGGTGATGGCACAGAGTGAGGCAGAGTGCTGTGCATTCCATAGACACTGCTGGCCTCTGATCTGGTAAAGAATACTCGGGCCCTGATGGGGAGCATCTCCTGGGCAGGGAGGGTAAGAGACAGTGTAGAAGAAGCACTAGATGGTGGCGATCTCCATAGGAAATGGTCTTGACTGTTCTTCAACCTCTATTCAATTGACCTGAGATTTCATGAATGAGTATGGTCCTTTTTTAGGTGCTACTTGTGTTGGTAAATTCCATATCGGCCAGTACCCTTGAGGCCTCCCTCCTGTACCTTTTGTGTCTTTTGGATTCTGATAGGCTTCTTGATCTGTCAATCTTTTGTCTCCTGTTCTTGCTGCATGAATCTTTCTTTTCTGGTCAGCCTTGTCTTCTGCACAAGTCATTGTTGTCTAACATGTTGCTGCTTCTTTATTTCATATATTTTTATATTTTTGGAACGTGTAGAAGGACTAATCCCCATTTTACACATGGGAAGACTGAAGCACAGTCTTACAGCTCTGTCAATTAACAAGCATTTATTCAGCACTTGCTGTGTGTCAGGTGCTATGCTCAACTCTGGGTAGACTCAAATGAAACAGTTCCCACCCTAACTGAATTTACATTCTAGTGGGGAGATTACATATGCACATGCCGGGTATCCCCAAAGTCTTAGTACTCTTTTAAGCTCTGGAACCTTGATAGCATAATGTGGTCTACCCCAAAATTTAATTTTTAACTAACAAAACTTAAAACTGCACTAAGACTTTGGGGACATCCTGCATAAGAATATACAAAATAAGCAGGATAATTTGGGGAGGGAAGGTATGAGCAACTTGGGGGGATAAGGAAAAGCCCATATAGAAGTTAACACTTGGGCCGAACCTTGAAGGAAACTAGCTAAGATGCAGTCATAGAGAAAACAAAACTGATCGGGGTGTTATGCAAGGGAATGAGTAATAGATTTTGGGACCTGAGGTCCTAGTTCCAGCTCTACTGTTTACTACCTCTGTGATTTTTGGCAGGTCATTTCAGTCCTCTGGCCTTTGTTTCTTAATCTTCGAAATGAGGGGGTTGGACTAAATAATCCTTTATGGTCCCTTCCAACTTTAAGTTCTGTGACCTTTTTATATTTTTGTACCTATGCACTTGTAATTGCATTGATATAAGGAAACTTGCCCCACAGCTCTGCCACTCTTAAAGAGTTGCCTGAAAAAAAAAAATGAAAAAACAAAAACAAAAAAAAGAGTTGCCTGGGGCTCTGAGTAGTTAGGTGATTTGCCAAGGGTCACATAGCCAGTATATTGTCAGAAGTGAGACTACTACCCCACATTGCATCTTGTTATATGAACCATGACTCTCAATTCTCAGCCTCCAATTATCTAACATGGCACACCTTGACTAATTTCTATACAAGCTTCTCTTGGTATTACCTATTGCTTCAATCTAAAACTGATTTTTTCCCCATCCCCTAACAACCATCCAGACTCATCTCTTGATCACTAGCCTAAAAAATGGAGTGAATCACTAACCTGTGTACTGCTTGAGATCCTTGGAATCATGGCTGAGCCTGGGGACATGCAGTGGTGTTTTGGAGTGAGAAATGTAGTTAGCCACCCAGAGATTTGACAGATTCCAAAAGAGGCTTTATGATGAAGAAGAAAATTAAAGTTAGAGAGCTGGGAACCATCATCCAATAATAATCAAAAGTCGTGTTTCCAAAACTGAAATCTGAATGTCTTCATCTCATTTCAGAATTCTATCCGCCACAATCTTTCTCTACATGACATGTTTGTTCGGGAGACATCTGCCAATGGCAAGGTTTCCTTTTGGACCATCCACCCTGATGCCAATCGGTATTTGACACTGGACCAGGTGTTTAAGGTAAGCATCCTGGTATCCAGTGGATGGCAATTAGTGATTACTTTTAGACTTAGAAACCCCTTCAGAATTGAGCGTGACAGTACCCATGAGGGAGTAAGATCATTTTGTTCTCTGATCAGTCACACGATCAACATGTACAGAGAACACAACGTATTAGGTACAGTTGAAAAATAGTGGGTAAGGTTTTGGAGGACAGGGGGCAGGGGAGAAATCTAGCAAAAAAATTTAGAGGTAACAAAAAAGGCAAATTTTGAGTTTTTTACATATTAAACCAGAGACCTAAGACTTAATTCATGATGTGTTTTAATACTAAGGGGTTCTTTGTTGAAAGGAACAGTTGTTTCGGTGTTACAGCCATGTTCATGTATCTGATAGAGTTCTTACTCCCATTCTCTCTCATACCTAAGCCCTTCAAGGAGTATTTTATGAAAGTGTTCTTCACTATGTCAGGTTTATGTTTCTTCCCCTACTGGTGAAATTGACCAAATTGGTTGGTAACTTCAATCTTATTTCTTTCCCAATGCATTGCTGCCTCCAGCCACTGGACCCAGGGTCTCCACCATCGTCTGAGCACTTGGAATCAGTAAGATTCTCTCTCTCCAGCTCGGGGCTTGGCCTTGTTCTCCTTTTGCTGCTCAGCATGACTTCAGTGGACAGGGACAAGATGTTAAAGGAAGGGCAGGCAATCCCAGGGCCATGTGACTGCTGGCCCTAGACACAGACTACCCCAAGGCTATCTTAGACATGGGAGAACTCAGCTGCTTCATTATGACTGTCGCACCTCCCCCAGATGCATACCTCTTTAGGGATCACAACTACTTCCCTTTCCCTTCCCACAGGCAACAGCAAGGTGTTCAGCAGAGTGCAGCATGACAGGAGAACAGTGCCACAGACTTGGCATGGAATAGCAGCAATGTAAATGACATGAGTCTTGCAAGCAGCTATTTTCACCCACATTTCTCTTCTTTGCTCTTCTTTTCCACTTATTTAGCCATACAGTCTAGCTCCCCAGGGAGACACCATGGGTATGGTTGGGGGCACTGTTCTGGTACTGTTGGTCACTATGCTGCTCACCCTTCCCACAGACAGGCCATGGAGACAGGACCCATGGCGATCCCCTTGGATCAGCTTTTTCTTCCTTTATGGCTATCAGGTGGCAGAGAGACAGCACTGTTCCAGAGCAGAGCAGCTGGTGGGGTTTGCTTCTCATCTCCCACACCTCTGTAAACTAGGCTTCTTTCTTTTCCCTTTTTTGACAAGCAGCAACAGAAACGGCCCATCCCTGATCTCCGAAGAAACCTGGGCATCAAAGCTGAGCTCCCCTTGAGTGCACGTGAGTATGTGGGAAGAGCTAAGTTCAGCTTTTGTTTAGGAGCAAGTTTAAAAGGAGTCAAGACTCTTAGGTTAAGTTCTTGGCTTCTATCCTTGGGAAGAGGATCTGGGATTGAGAAAGGGGAGGAAGTCTGGCCCCCAGTGATCTTGACCTCATCCTCTCTCTCAGGACGGAAGATGAAGCCACTACTCCCAAGGGTCAACTCATATCTAGTACCAATCCAGTTCCCAGTGAACCAATCCCTGGTGCTGCAGCCTTCAGTGAAGGTGCCATTACCGCTGGCTGCCTCTCTCATGAGTTCAGAGCTTGTCCGTCATAGTAAGCGAGTTCGCATTGCCCCCAAGGTGAGTGGTGTCCTTTCTCAGTCAGTCAACAAATATTTACATATAAGTTCATCATACTAGGTTCTGTAGAGTATACGAAGTTGAATGTGACCTGATCCCTTTCCTTGGGAAGATAAAACAGTTATGAAAAGATTACATTCTGAATTATGTTATTAAGTTCCATAACAAAGAGATGGGGGAGAAGTGCTTTAGCAATTAAATGGAAGAAGTTACTTCCAACTAGGAAGGATCATTAAGGAAAGTCTTTCTGAAGGACGTAACCTTTGAACTAGTTGTCCTTAAAGAATGGGGTGGGGGAGAAAAGGGTATTTCAGAACAGGATAAGCAAAGACAAAGAGGCAGAAAAAATGCAATAGCTGTTAAGGAAATGATAGTAGTTTACTTTGACAGGAATGTTAATTTGTCAAGGGAAATAGATTAGGCTGTAAAGGTAGGTTGGGGGACATTTTATAAGTCTTTAAATATCACGTTAAGGAATTTTTTGAGCTTGATTTTTGGACAGTGGAGAGCAATCAAAAGTACTAGCAAGAGATTAATATGATTAAAACTATGCTTTAGCAAGGAAGCACCTGGTAGTGGTCTGAAGGCTAGACTAGAGAGGGTAGAGACTAGCAGTAGAGAAGCAGTTGATATTATTGTTGTAGAAGTTTGGGACTTGATAATTTAATAAGGACTTGAAATAGAGAGATATCAGTAGTGATAGACAAGAGCAGACAAATACAAGAAATATTTCCAAAGCCAAATCAATAAGAATTATTAGTTATGGGGGCAAAAGAGAGAGAAGTCCATGTTAGGGGGAAATGGTGGTACTATTACTAGAAATAAGAAATAAATTACTAGAAATAAAAATTACTAGAAATAAGAAATAAGTACTATTACTAGAAAAATTAGGGAACTATGGGTTTAGTCTGGAAAGTTGATTCTGGATTGAAATATCCAGATGGAGAATTCCAAAAGGGATTAGAAATGTTGGCTTGGAATTTGAGAATGGAATTAGGGATTTGGCAGTCTTTACCCAGCTACACAGAAGTAATTAAGAGATTACCAAGAGAGAATTCAAAAAGATGAGAAGAGGTATGATGAAGGAGTCTTAGAGAACCCTGCATTTGGTTGGGAGAGGAAAAAAAAACAACAAAGGAGGAATTGTGATCAGCCAGAGGAATACGAGAAGAGCTAGAAGAGAACCATGACAAAAGACCAAGCAGGAGAGGGTTTCAAGGAAGCAAGTTGGTTGCTTGTGTTAGGGGCTGCCTAGAGCTCAAGGAGGATGACTGAGAAAAGGGCCATGGGCAACAAATTAGATTGATTTCATTAAGCAACCCCAGTCCAGAGACCAGACAGATGGTGGAAATGGGGGAGGGTGAAAGTGGAACACTGTATTTGCAGTCATTTTGCAAGTTGGTCCTAACTGTTCAGTAGGGAAGAGAGATGTGACATGTAAAAAAATAAAAAAGCATTGATAAAACTGGTTACAGAAAAAAAGGCCATGAATTGGGTGATTAGGAGGAAATCCTATTGGATTTTGGGTGATTATGGGAATTGGGTGATTATGGGAAATTGGGTGATTATGGGAAAACTTTGAAGGGGCAGTTTCAGAAGGGTTGTGGAAGCAGAAGCCCAATTATAAAAGATTAAAGAGTGAAAATATATTAAACATCATTTTTATGAAGGCATTGCACTAGGCTCTAGTTTTGAATCCAAAGTCAGCCAATAAGCATTTATTAAGTACCTACTATGAGCCAGGCACTGTGCTGAGGATACAAAGAATGGCAAAAGACAGTCCTTGCCTTTGAACTCACAATCAAATTAGGGAGAAACATGCAAACAAACTATATACAAAATAAATAAGAAATAAATCAGCAGAGGGAATGTGCTAGAATTCAGAAGGATTGAGAAAGGCTTCCTGTAAAGAATGGGCTTTTAGTTGGCACTTCTTAAGGAAGCCATGAGGCAGACAGAGATGAGGAGGAAGAGCATTCCAGGTATGGAGGACAGACAGTGAAAATGCCCAGTCAAGACATGGGAGTATCTTGTTTGAGGAACTACGAGGAGCCCAGTGTCACTTGATCAAAGGGTATGTAGGGAAGGTATAAGGTATAAGAAGAAATCTGGAAAGGTGGTGGAGATGGCCAGGTTATGAAGGGCTTTGAACATCAAACAGGATTTTATATTTGGTCCTGAAGGTGCTAGCCACTTTAATTTATTGAGCAGGCAGGGAGGAGGGGTGATGTGGTTGGACTTGTACCTAAGGATGATCTCTTTGGCAACCGAAGGGCGAATGGACTGAAGTGGGGAGAGACTTGTGGCAGGCTTTCTGCAATAGTCTAGGCAGGAGGACATGAGGGCCTGTACCAGGGTGGTGGCAGTATCAGAGGAAAGAAGGGGGAATATGTGAGAGATGAAGGGGAAAGTGACATGCCTTGGCAAGGGATTAGATATATAGGGGCTAGGGAGGGATGAGAAGTAATGAGGACTTGAAGATAACGTCTGGGTTTTGAGTCGGGCAAACTGGGAGGATGGCAGTGTGTGGCTGAGGTGGAGCAGGTGATGGGAAATGAGTAGGTTGAGGAACTGGGAAGTTAGAGTGTTTGAGGAAGTATCTGTGTGTGTTGAAGTCCCTTAGTATGGAGGGCAGGAAGTGGGAAGGAGAGAAAGATTGTGAGCTCAGCAACTAACAGGATAGTTGACATTTATATAATACTTTAAGATTTACAGTATGCTTTATATTATCTCATTTGATCCTCAAAATAATCCTTTTGAAGTAGATACTATCTTAGATATAATAATACTATGTGTATTATTATATCTGCTTTATAGATGAGGATAGCTGAGGCCCGGAGAGCCAAAATGACTTGCTCCAAATCACAGGGAAGTAAATAGCAAAGCTAGGGTAGCAAATAATAAATAACAAATCAGGGAATGGGACTGTATCTCTAAGGTCTATTTTCCAAGTATGACATTCTATGATGCTATGAATTCTTTTCATCTGGAGAAAAATTTTCAGAGTGATGTCATAGACATAAAAGTGGGTTAATACCTGGTGGGGTGAGGAACCTCTGAGAACATAGGAAGCTTAAACTGTAGAAGTGATTTAACTTAGGCAAAGAGAACCAACTTCTTAATCAAAAAGCTGTGTTAGATCCTGAGACAGGTAACCGTAGTTAGTGAAATTGCCTCCCAAGGAGCTTTTTAATAACAGGCTAGGGTGATTAAGTTCTGCTAAAAGGTCTAGAGGATTGAATATGGTCAGGAGACATCCCTCCCACCTTTTTGTGTTCTACTTTCAGGTGCTGCTAGCTGATGAGGGACTATCTCCCTTTTCCACTTCTGGATCATTGAAAGAGGAACGAGCCCTACCTGGGGAAGGGCTATCTCCTTTGTTTCGGGCTCAGTCTGTCAAAGAAGATCTCCAGCCCATGGAAGAACTATCCCAGTTCACAAGACCCATCAAAGTGGAGAGCCCACCACTGGAAGAGTGGCCCTCACCCTTTCCGGTGGTCAAGGAAGAAGTATCACACCCTTGGCAGGACCCTTCCCTTTTCTCTGCCTCCAGACCCAAGAAGATTTTCACAGGGCTCAAGTCCCCACCACAGGGTGTCTCTGACATGCTTGTGATTAAGCGGAGAGAAAGGAGGGAGATGAGCCGATCCAGAAGGAAACAGCACCTTATCCCACCTTGCTTGGAAGAGCCAGAACTATTGTTCCCAGAGATCCCTGGACCCTCCAGACAAAACACAGATCTCCCCTTCCTCCCAGAGGCATCGGAGTCTACCTCCCAACTGAGCCACTCTCAGGATGAAGGAGGTCCCTTTAAAACACCAGTCAAGGATATGTTATGCAAGCTACCCATTTCCTCCACTCCCAGCAAAGCTGTTCTCCCTATGACCCCAGACCCTTGGAGGCTTACACCCCCAAACAAGGAGACAGGGCTCGATTTCAGCCCAGTGCGTACTCCCCAGGGATCTTTTACCCTGCTGCCAGATTCCATGGGGCTGCTGGATCTCAGCACCACCCCACTGAAGAATGTTCCTCTCTTTGAGTCACCCCAGGAGCTTCTTAATCCAGAGTCACTTGACCTGGTTTCTGACCCTTTTAACAGCTCTCCCACCTCAGATCCTGAAGCCCCCAAGCCTGGCTCCCCTGAGATGCATGTCTCCAACCTTTCTGCCAACCGTTCACTGACTGAAGGCCTCGTTCTGGACACAATGAATGACAGCCTCAGCAAGATCCTGTTGGACATCAGTTTTCCTGGCTTGGAGGAGGATCCCCTGGGCCCTGACAATATTAGCTGGTCTCAGTTTATCCCTGAGTTGCGGTAGAGCACAGCGTACCCCACTAAGTCCACTAGTTCAGGTTTGACAAGTAGCTGGGTGGTCCAACGGTTAGACCAGTTCACACACTGTGTGAAGGCAGCAGGCCTGCCAATAGCCGGTGAACCTGTCTACTTCTCTTAGCTCTGTTTCTCCCAATTAGTTCAAGGTAGGCAGTCACGTTCTAGCTGTCTCCTGATCTTGCTGACTACAAGCTGGTCTCCTGATGGCTGGTCATTGCCTATCCTGGAGCTTCCCCCAAGAAAACCTGTCTTCTTTACCTCCATCACCAGCCTGACCTCCTCATCAGGGCACTAATGGTGGGAACAGCAGCACAAAAGCTAAAAACCAGAGGAGGAGCTCCCAGCCTTATTTACGTCTACAAGCTTCTTCATCTTTCCCTACTCTCCTCTCAGTGACCCCTTGGGGCCAGGTGGTCATTGTAAATAGAGTATATTCTCCAAATTATCCTCTAATTATTAACATAACTTTATTTCCTTAGATCAGTACTGTGGGGGTTGCCAATGGGCGGGTTGGGGGACTCAGGTTTTTTTGTTTGTTTCCATGGCTTGCTTTTGGTCTTCTCTGGGAGATAAGGGCTTCAGGTTCATGGCTCGAGGGTTTTTCTGGATGAAGAATGCACTTCTCAAGGTTTCTTAACCCACCATGCATTCAGAATAGGAGATCTGTTTTCCCTGCACTGGACTCCTACAATAACTTTCCTGTTGAGGATTGGAGGGAGAGCCACAACACTGCTGCAGATTCTCATTGTAATGGGGTCAGTTCCCCAAAGCTGAATGGGGGGAGACGGCAGGCTACTAGAGTATTTCTTTTAAGATTCCAGATTTTGTTGGGCAACCCTGAGAAGGGAGCGTTTGGCCAGAGGATGGGTGGGATGGGGGGTGATCGTAAGGTCACCCTTATTTATACTGGATCCCCTCCATTTGCATTTCAGCTTTTATAACCAACCCACCCCATAAGCCAAAGTTTCATCATTTATATTAGGCCAGAGTCTTAGGCACACACATTTGTAACTACCTACTCAATAAAGGCTAGGGTAGAGATGTTGGGTTTTGTGAATGAAGTATTTGGTGTCTGGAGACTCTTCTCTGAGTTCTAAGGAAGGTATGAATCATCATATGGCAGGGGGTAGGGGATAGAGGGCAGGGATAAATGTATTGAACTTTGGGAATAGGAGGAAAGAAGGAAGAAGTATGACTGTTCTAAAGAATCACATATCTAAAGAAAGTTCAGGACTGACCATACTGATAAGGACTTGGCTCTCAGCCTACTCTCTCTTTTTCCAATTTCTATCTTGAAATATACTCTTTGCATCTTGGTTCTGTAGAAAGAATTCTTCACTCAATATCTAGGGCAGTTGGCTAGCCTAAAATCCTTTCATCAGGTTTTCCCTACCCACATTTTTATTTGCAACTGCATGTTGAAGTAAAGGAAATAATCTTTACCAAGTCTTGAATGAGAATTTTAGAGTCATCTAAAAATCAGAAAAAGGTGCCTTTCAGCTCTTTAGAAAGGGCATTTCCCTCTTGGTTTCTCCCACCCCCTACAGTTCCTTATTGAGGATGAAACTATCCCAAGCTAGTGACCCATTTTCATCTGGGGCTCCTGGGGAGGCTTCTCTCTGTCCTCAACAAGAGAGTTTTGTGTCAGTCCACAAAATGCACTCAGGCTACATGCTTAGGAGGGCAGTCACTGGGTGCTACTAAACATAAGGGGTGGTGTGGGTGAAATTCAAGGTTTCTAAGGTCTTAGGTTATGAAGACTCCCCACTGTTTCCTCTAGCAGTTGTAGGCCCAGATAGTGCAAATGGTTTCACACACAGTTCACTCCTGATGCATCACCATAGCAACTCATATGGGCAAACAATGGGGGCCTAGGAACAGAGGGGCATTTTCTAGCTTTGATAGTTTTTTTTTTTATTTAAATGTATCTTATGATCAGGAATAACTCCTGGAGAAAATGAGCCATCTCAAAGTACAGAACCTCTCCTACAGGTAGGAAGACTGCATCCTAGAAAGCCGATCCCCATGTCCAGAGTACCTGCCTTATGTAGCTCTTGATTTTTATCATGTAGTCCTCAACGGAGGTTCTGTTTTCTACTATGGCCTGAAGGAACTAATTATGCTGATATTCTATCTACTTAGCCTCCTAGTATTCCCAGCTTTAGCCATGTGAGATGTGGGGGTCAGAGCTAATAGAGAAGGCAGGACACCTGGATCTAATCACTTCTGGACTTGCTGGAGGTGGTCAGAGCTGGAGGAGTGGGAGATTTGTGGACATCAGCAAACAAGTAGGGGTGATTGGAGGGAAATGGCATCAGGATTGAGGTGTATGGTAGTGTGAAGAGTAATGGATTTGGAGACAGAACCAAGTTTGAATCCTAGCTCTGTTCCTTGCTATCAGTCAATAAGCAGTATAATTGTGTGACTTGGGCAAGTCATTTCACGTTTGGGAGCCTCAGTTTTCCTCATCTATAAAACAAATGGGTTGGATTAAAAGATCTCCAGCTCTAAATTCTAAGGAAACGTATATAATGAAGAAAGCTAGGACTATAAAGTGACTCCAAATGTAAGAAGAAGCAGGGGCCTGATCTCCATGGTAGACTCAATAGCATCACACTGCCCAGTAATGGTGGATAGGTACTAAGTCAAATATTTGGTAACATCAGTTCCCTAGGGAAGTATCAGGAGTCATTTTTGAGGAGAGGAAACAACTGAAATTTAAGGCTTATGCAACACTTATTCTTTCCTTGGTTGCAGCTGAACAAAATAGAGGGTGGAGAAGCCGATTTCACCACCAACTCATCTGTCACCAGGTCCCATCTTAATTCTTACCTAGATGACCTGTTACAACGATTCCTTCACTGAGAAAACATGGGTACAGCGAGAATTCTTCCACCCAGATATCCCCTTGGTGTTTGGGGGCTTCACTCCAAAGCCCTACCATCAGCTTGCTGTGAAGCAACCACCCTGTACAAAAATAAAGTCCATCACATGCCAGCGACTCCTCACCCCTTGGAAGGGTACATCCCAACATACATGGGGCTACCACACGTGGATAGATGTGGGGCGTCTACCCCCAGTCTTTCCCACAAGGCCTGATAAACCTTACGATAGTAATGTCTGGCGATGGCTCACTCGTAGTGAGGCCCATAAATGTTCTTTAACCAATTACTCTATCCCTCCACCTTCCTGGCTTGGGAAAAACACTTTATTGCACTTTATTGACACTCATCCTATCTTCATGGATCCAGTAAGAAAGGAGAAGGTGGTCAACCGGGCCAGGAAGGAAATAATGAAAGCAGAAATACTCAAAGCAAGAAGTGAAGTGAGGGTACCCCCATTGGATGCCCAGGGTAACATTTTGCCCCCCAAGAACTTCAAGAGGTAAGAAAACCCTCCCCTAGCTGCCTGTCCCTCTCCAAAAAAAAAAACCAATCTAAATGTTAATAAGTACTGAATATAGCATTGAGCATTATGATAGGTGGTGTGGGATAGACCCCTCCAGAAGCATATGAAATAGGATCCCTTCCCCAAGGAGGAGGCTATCTGGAGTGATTGGGCACACGTATGCAAGTGCCAAGTGAATACAGAGTTCAGAGGAAGGAAAGAATGCTACGGACTGTCGTCGGGTTAAGTTTGTTGAAGGAGATAGGACTTAAGCTATATACTTGAAGGATGGTAAAAAGGATAGATAGGCATTTAGCCAGGCCTTTGTGTTATTTGGAGCCACTTTATTGACTCTCCTGCCTTGCCTCACCTCACTTCCACCCACTGTTGGGACCTGATAGTCTATAGGAACCTGAATAGTCTATAGTGAAGGATGTGGATTCAGGCTAACCAGACAAGATTCTATGCTGGAATAGGACAGTGAAGTAAATACAACCTACTCATGAATTCAAGGTCCAGTGATCCAGTAAATAACCAGAATCAAGGCCTTTGCCTTCTCTTTCCTCTCTCCTGTTGCTCCCTGCCTTTTGGACCATCTCTCTGCAAAAGCAGAGAGAGAAGCATGTCAGAGCAAGTTATATTACTCCTATGAGTAGCTTTGGTAAGGGATTGAAATAAATGGCTAAAATGAGGTTTGGGGATTGTGGATTTTTGAGATTTCTCCTTCCTGTGACTCCATCACCACCCATCTCTGGTTATTCCTGACTATGGATTAGAATGGTTAGAATGGATTCCTGACTATGGATTAGAAAAGGTTAGAATGAACTTTAGAGAGATCCTAGTCCCATGTATACCTGAATGAAAATCCCTTCTATAACATGCAGTGGTATATATTTAGAACTAGAAGGTATCTTAGAGGTCATGGTCATCCAGCTTTTGTCTGAAGACCTTCAATGAGGGGTCACTGTCTGCCTCCCAAGCCCATTTGGCTGCTGGATTGCTCTTTTGATAGGAAGCGTTTCCTTACACCTGGACCTAAATCTACCACTGCGATTTTCAACCACTATTCTTAGTTCCAACCTCCAAGGCCAAGCAGAATCGTAGAATCAGATTTAGTGATAGGAGAGACCTTAGAGTTCCCCCTCCCTCACTTTACAAATGAGGAACTCAGGGCCAGAGAATTAAAATGATTTGTCCAAGGATGCAGTAAGTGAAAGTGCTGGGATTCAAAGAGCTGGGATCCCTCTTCCACATATTTCATTTTAAACTGGACCTGTGGTTTCATTGCTCTCAGAAATCCCTTCTACCAATGCAGATTGGAAAATATTCTGCAAATTATAGTCTTAGAGAGTGACCTGGGGCACTGAGAAATCAAGTGACTTGGTCCAGGTCTCAGCCTCCATGTGTCAGTAGCAGCTGCTTCTCATATGAAATATGTATAGAATAAATGCAGAGCAGTTTGGAGCTAATGAAGGAAAGAAAGCACAAACAAATTGCTGATTAGGAAAGGCCTGTAGGTTGTTGCATCTGAGCTAGGCTGTGAAGGAAGCTAGGGTGGAGGAGCCCGCTAAAACATCTCATCTCACTTTTGGATAGCTCTAATAGACTTCTGACATCAAGCCTAAACTTGCTTCTCTAAAACTAAAACAGTCTCTAAAACATCCCATCTCACTTTTGGATAGCTCTAATAGACTTCTGACATCAAGCCTAAACTTGCTTAGTTAACAACCTCCACCCATTCCTACTGGTTTTGCCCTCGGGGGCCAAATGCAAATAGAGTTTAAGTATAGTCTCTTTTCCACATGATAGACCCTTCAATCTATACGTCCCACTTAAGTATTCTTTTTCAAAGTTAAATATATTTGATTCCTTCCACTCATCTTCAGTTGGCGTGTTCTGATGATCTTTGATTACTTTGATTGCCCTTGGCATTCTCTCTAGTTAACTAATCAATTAATTGATTAATTAACAAATATTTGCTGAGTGCCCCCTATGAGCTTAGCACCATGCTTGGGTAGAATGCCTTCCTGAAATACCTGGATGTGTCCTATTATCCCAAAACCCCATGACAAAAAAAACCAAACAAATAAAAGGGATGAAAACAGAGCTGACTATCTCTTCCTACTTCTTTTCCTAACTTGTGTATATCCATCAGGGCACCACCAACCTTCCAATCACCTCAGAGTCATTCTCAATGCTTCACTCTCCCTCACTCCTCTCCTTGTCCAATCAGGTGCCCAGTTTTATTGATTCTACCTCCACATCTCTTGCTTCCATTCTTTTCTCTTACCTGGCTGCCACCCTGGTTCAGGCTCTCATCAGCTTCTGTTTAGGTTCATAATTGGTCTTCATTTCTCCAGTCTCTACTTCCTCCAATTCATTCTCCACATAGTTGCCAAATTGATATTACCAAAGCATACATGGGATCATGTCACTCCCCTTCTCAAGAAGCTTCAATAGCTCAGAGATCAAACTGTTAGGCATTTTAAACCCTTCACCATTTAGCTTACTTTTCCAGACATGTTTCACTTATTATTCCTCATATACAACAATCTTTGTCTTTGCAGACGAACTCATTTCCTGGAATAGTATGCTCTCTCCTTCCTTCTACCTTACAGAATCTCTTGTTGTTCAGTCTTTCAGTCATATCCGATTCTTCGTGACCCTGTGACCATAGCACACCAGTACTGTTCATGGGCTTTTCTTGGCAAAGATACTGGAATGCTTTGACATTTTCTTCTCCAGTGGATTAAGGCAAATAAGAGGTTAAGTGACATGCCCAGGATCATACAGCTAGTGAGTGTCTGAGACTAGATTTGAACTCGGGTCTTCCTGGCTCCAGAGCTCTATCCACTAAGCCACTTAGCTGACTCATAGAGTCCGTAGTCTTCTCCTTCAAAGGTCAGCTCATCAAGGCTTAGTCTGATTTCCCCCAGCTCCAGTGGTTCCTCCTTCACAAAAGTTACTGTGCATTGATTTTGTATATATGTTATTTCTACTTTATATAAATACGTGTTATTTTAGGGATAGAATATAAACTCCTTGAGCATAAGAAATTATTTTGGTTTTGTGTTTGTATCACCAGCCTCCCATGTAGTAGGTGCTTAATAAATACTTGTTGCTTACTTGCTTGATTGATTGATGAGAGAAGGCAGAGAAATTCACAAGGGTACCACCACTGGATGCCCACACACAAACACACATATTAGGCTGTCATATTATGTATATACATATATACACATGCATGCATGTGTATGTATGTCATGCATACACATACACACATGTATGACAATCCATGTGTATGTATACACATTTATATACATACTTCTTATCAAACTTTAAGTTCCCAAGCCTCTTAGTCCTTTTTTATATGTAATTGTGTATGTTGGTGATTGTTACATTCCCAATAAAAAAGAAAAAAAATTTAAATGAATGGAGAGATAGAGTGGTCAGATGAGACTTTGCAAAGGAGGTGGGGTTTATGTGGTTTTGAAAGAAGCTTAAGAATTTAGGGAATAACCAAGGATAGGCCATAAGGATTGCAGATCTAAATCACATCACAATTCAATTCAACAAAAATCTTTTAAGTACTTATTTGCAGAGCACTGTGATTGGGGGACAAGAGAGATGCAAAATTTAGATTTTCAAATTCTCCTTATAGATGTGAATTTAATATCAATAAGGAAAGAACACAATACACAACTGATACCCAGGCAGTTAAATCCATGAATCAATTTTCTTTGTTAATTATTTGTCATGCATTATTGCCAGGATGAGGGAAGTAAAGGGCAGAGACTGCATTTGAATATTTCTTTACATGTTGTCAATAGCTAATTTGTGAAGAGAAGTCATTCCCTCCCCAGCCTCCATTAGTACTCCTACACAGGATCTCCCCTTACCTCTCCATTCTCTCTTCATCACAAACAGGTACAGACATGTGACACCAGGTGGACGATTGGACCCTAACGGCTTCCAGCTTGTGCCCAACCCAGTCCCCAATTTACTCTGCAGGGGTTGGCCCTGCCCTAACCCTCAACCACATTATGAAGAGTTGTCGATGAGGCTGTTACTGCAGCCTGCTCCTCCCCTGGACCCTGAAATGGTGAGGAATTACCAGATCCTTGCAAAGGACCGAGCAACTACTCCCATCTGCTATGTCTCAGAAGAACCCGGCCTGGCATGAGGGCAAGGGGTACAGTTAGGAGATGGGGTGTTGGGAGGGAGAGGGCTGTCTCATTCCCTATACAACTTCACACAGGAGAGAAATTGGGTAAGACCAAAGGATCCTCCAACTCCAACAGAAATATTGGTACATTATATTCTGTGTTCCAGAGACCTTAACCTGACACACCCCTGCTCTAAGCAAGAAACATCCTAGGGTGGTAGAAACTCCAGCTTATCTGTGTTTTTCAGTCTACAAAGTTCTTTCCTCACAATCACCTTTTGAGGTAGATAGTCCATGTATTTTACAGTCATGGAAACCAAGATTAAGGGTATAATTTGGATTAATCATAGGATTTTAACACTTTAAGGGACCTTAAGTCATCCAGCCTAATTCTCTCATTTTACCTATGAAGAAATTGAAACCCCAAAAGGTGAAATGATTTGTTCCAGATTCCATATATAGTAAATTCCAGAGCAGGGGTGGAATCCAGATCATTTGGCCTCAATTCCAGTGTTCTTTCTTAAGGGCCTCTTACACATACATACCAACGTAAACATGCACTCTAATACAAAGAAACATGTCTGTAAGGCAGAGAGATGAACACCATTTCCTCTCTCCTCTGATGGCCTGGTACACTCTGTTCCTCACTGGAGAGAGAGAGCTGCAATTACTACAAATGGTTTTTTTTCCTTCTTTCTCCTTGTTCTCATCCCTAGAGGCTGAGCCTCTAGTACACTGGAGAGTATGTGTGAAATAGGAGTAAGTTGAGATATATATTCCATTTATTGGCTAGCCTTAGGATTTAGCTTAGGGAAACCTTTGGGGTCATAAAATGTTGAGGGACCACCATTCCAACCTGCATCTGCTTCTACCTCACAGGGAAGACGTGGACCTTCTCAAAGAAGTCTCCCTCTCAGCCAGCAGCACCCCTAACCCAGGTAGCCACACAGGCTGTGTTCCATTTCCATTCCATAGCCTCTTTCCAAGATGATTTTCAGAGCCATCTTTTCTAAAAACAAACTAAAAACCACTTTTTAAAAGAACTGATGCCTTTTGTGTTTACATCATAGTCATTTCCTAACCTCTTCCCACCACGAACCCTCTCTTGTAGCAAAGAATAGTGAGCAAAGGCAACTGACAGTGTTGACCTTACCTGGCAGCATATGCAATATTCTGCACCTGTCAATCCCCACCCCTCTCTCAAAAGGCATGTCATCAGAGACATCTTCCCCAATTTACAGGGAGCTGAGCCAGACGTTCGTAACTCTTAGCTTCCCCTTACTTTCCCAAAGAGGGAGATATCTTGAGAGGAAAACAGGAATAGGCAATTCTACATCCTCACCCCAACCCCCCCCAACACTCATACACACACACACATACCACACTTATCTCCCATGAATATTGCTATCCTCACTGATACTAATTACTGCCCATTGCCAAAGGCCTTTCAAGACACTTTCTCTCTAACACTCTTCTGGGGAAACCTTTTTCTCAAGAACAGACTCATTAGTCAGAGTCAACCAACTTCTGGTTGGCAAGTACCACATTTGAGGAAGGGCTGTGGAGAGGAAGAAGGAAACGCAACATTGCTAGGCCTTGCCTTTAGTTTCGATTGTCTCCAAATTTTGCAGAGACTTCTCACCATGGTAGGGTTCAGTCAGATCCAAAGACCTGGTTTGTTGCTGCAAAACTTGGCTGTCAGCAGGCTACCTCAGACACCTTCCCTTTTCTGTGTTCTAGCCTATTCCCCATATGTCTCCTCCAGGCACACTGAAGGAAGCCTTCCTGGACTAATCCTAAGGTGAGGGGAGATAATCACTCCCTCCTAACTCTGTCTTGATTGAACTACGCCTCGTCCGAAGCAGGCTGAAACCCTGAATCTGGATGTCCTGACTCATATGCCACAGCTACTAGAGCATCATTACCTAATCTGTTTTGAGGAGGGCCAACCTCTGTATTTCGTAAAGTATCCCCAGGGTCGGACAACAAGGGCTGGTCCAGTCAGATCAAGAGGAAGCCATCTTGAATTTAAAAAAAAAGTCCCTATATCCCCACGAATAGTTATCCTTTCTATGTGTATATATGTATATGTATGTGTGTATATATATATATATATATATTATGAATTTGTTCTGTGGATGTTATGTCCTTTCTTTCTGTAAATCAATATGCTTGACTTAGATAATAAACTCCAAGAAGGCACACAGCCTACCTTATTTAACCCACTCTGAAAAGTACCTATTACAGTGACTAATAAATGCCTTTTGATGAAGAAAATGTCTTTTACTGATTGAACAATCATTGGGAATTTGGTCAATACAAGACTAGGCATTGTGAGATATTTAAACAAAGCACTCTGGCTCTTGCTTAGAGCATTTGTGTAGTGTAGGCACTTGCTACTATAAATTGCTCTCACTACGGAAACCACAAGACACTCCAAGCTTAAGCTAACCCAGCTACTCCAATGAACCTGTGTAAACACTGAGTGCTAGGGGGCGCCATAGTGCATACATACAGTGCCAGGCCTGGAGTCAGGAAACCATAAATGAAGGAAATGCCAAATTTAAACACCTCGGGTCCTGATGCATTTAAAAGTGAATTCTGTTGAACATTTAAAGAGCAATTAGTCCCTGTGCTGCAAAATTATTCTCAATAATAGAGAAAGTGCCAAGTCAAATACTTTTTATGACACAAATATAACCCTGATACTCAAACCAGGGGATAACAGAAAAAAAAAACAAAAAAAAACCTGTAGGTCAGTATAATATGAATTCACTGATTTATTCAGAACTTTAAAATACAAGTTTATTCAGAACTTTAAAATATAAGTTTAGCAAAGAGACTATAACAATATTTCAGAAAAATTTATTATCACCAATAACCAGGGATGCAAGGATGTTTCAACATTAGAAAATAATTGGCATAATTAATATCATAAATAATACAACCATGAAACCTGCAAGATTATGTTAATAGAACCTGAAAAAGCTTTAAATAAAATATAGTATTCACTTATGTTAAAAACCATTAAAAAGGGGGGCAGTTAGGTGGTGTAGTAGATAGACCATCAGCCCTGGAGTCAGAGTTCAAATTCGGCCTCCGACACTTCAATAGCTGTGCGGCCCTGGGCAAGTCATTGAATTCCAATTGCCTCAAAAAAAAAAAAAACCTGAAAAGAATAGGTAGGGAAGGTCCCTTTTTTAATATAATAAAACATATTCATCTGAAACCAGAGCTATCATTATTTGTATAGCACTTTGGCTGTGCAATCACAGTATACACAGGCTCTCAGAAAAAGCTATTTCAGATTCAAGGCACTTTCTGTAGGACAACAAATAAAACTATGTATCTTATAACCCCCCACCAATGTTTGTTTACTTTTACCTACCCCTGGATACATTCATTCAAAACATGTAATTAAGCATTGTAGCAAATAAAGAGAAAATAAAAGGTCCCTGGATGCATACACAGGGAGTATTCTCCAACAGGTTACCCCATCACCAATGGATGAGAGTATAAATACGGCGACATAGACAGGGTACAAGTGGCCTGGTCAACTCACACCAGTGATGCTGTAGAGCTGCTGATGCCCTCTGATGACTTTATGATGTTCTCTGCTAGGTAACCAGCTGTGTATCCTCTCTGCAAGGCATCTCCACCGGTCTTGTGATTACTAAGCTGCTCTCTTACTCTTTTCAGGGCATCAACTTTTCAGAGCTGTCTACTGCTCTCTCTGACTGACGTGTGCTAGCTAGAAAGCCTCTCCCAAGGGCAAGCTTATGGTCTATTTGTATGTACCTGAGGTTATGTGCCACCACCCCAATCAGACAACTAACCAAAGCCAGTAGCATGCCCCAGGCTGAGAGTCAACCAACAAGTATGTATTACACACCTATTACATGTCTAATAATAATAATAGCTAATGTGTATATAGCTCCCACTATGTGCCAGGCACTATGCTAAGTGCTTTACAATTATTACCATATTTGATCCTCACAAAAACCCTGGAAGGTAGGTGCTATTCTAATAACAGCATTTTATAGATGAGGAAACGAAAACAGAGGTTAAATGACTTGGCCAAGGTCACACAGATAGTGTCTGAGGTCAGATTTAAACTTGGCTCTTCCTGACTCCAAGCCCAGTGCTTTATCCCTACCTAGTTGCCCCTAGGTGCTGCATGTACAAATTCAAGGAATGAAATGTTCCCTACTCCCAATAAACATATTCTAATGAGGGAGAAAATAAGTAGATATAAAAATACATACAGCATGAATATCTCTGTCTATCTGTGTCTATATGTAGTAGTATGGCGGGTGTAATCTGAAATAACTGAGGAAACAAAGGTTCGAGCTTCTAAGCATGTCAATTTATTAAGCCATGCATGCCAATTGCATAACAAATCAGGATCTGGCCTCCTCAGCTTAGCACTGGACCTTGAATACAGAAGGAGACAGATTTTTATGCATTAAAAGAAAACAACAGGATATAAAACAGGGTATGAGATTAGGTAACCAGATTTCTTACTGGAGGAAAGATTAGAGGCTTTCCGAGTTGGGAGGAGAACAAACAGGTACAATTTCCTGAAATCAGAAAAAGAGGTGTCCACTCCCCTCAAGTGCCTGTATTCAATCAAAGCAACGAGGATACAGGAACTGATTGACCAGTAGAGGAGCAGTTTTCAGATAAGACATATGGGTTGCTTGAGATATATAATTGTGAGAAAACTCCTTGCACCAGTCTTTAGATCTGACTGGGTTCCAGGTCAGTATAACCTAAGGCCTTAGTTAAGGGTCTCTAAATAACAACTAGATGTGATCCAGCTTCCCAGCCATGCAGGGCTAGGTTCAAACAATGCAACAAAGGTTTGGGTTTTTTTTTTTTTCACATTCCCAAGATTGAATGAAGTTTTCTCACAAGACAGAAATTGGCGTAGACCCATAACTGAATAGAAAGAGAACTGAGCTAAATCCAGAACTGATCCAGGAGTCAGTGTGGTTTACTCAATTCCCACAAATCCT